TACTTTTTCAAAGAACATTTTAAGGCTCCCACTGATGTCCTTAAAACGCCACTTCAGTGCTGCATGGAGAATACACTGTTAAACACTAATTTATTTAAGTCAGGCCAGCAGCACAAAATGGAAATATTACAAGGTGATAAAGCAGCTGAATAATATTTTCAGAAACAAAAAAAGCAAAAACTAAAGTTACTTCAGCATCATAAAAGTTTGTATTTAAGCCTTAAGCATGTTCCTTCACCGCTTGAGAATGAAAATGGCGACAATAAACAACAAACACTAAACTTTTATGAAATGAATAAAGTATTATTATTCAGAATCAATTTGGTGAAACTCGGCAACAAACAAACAAAACTATGCTATTATAGACAACCATGAATTTGATGCATTTTAAACAAAACTAAAACATAACAGCTGCTCAAAAATAAAAATTTTAAATAAACCACAAACTAAATGTGGTATGTCAGCAAGTTATAGAAAGTAAGCTCTTGTGCAAAATCTGCTGTTGTATAACAGCTATTAAAATATGTTTACCAATAAAAAAATAAATCACAGCATTTTTCTGAGCAATACAACACTAAACATTTAAATAACGTGTTCTAAATATGGCAGCACGGTGGCGCAGTGGGTAGAAAGAAAACGCCTCACAGCAAAAAGGTCACTGGTTTGAGCCCCTGCTGGGCCAGTTGGCATTTCTGTGTAGAGTTTGCATGTTCTCCCCGTGTTGGCGTGGGTTTCCTCCGGGTGCTCCGGTTTCCTCCACAGTCCAAAGACATGCAGTATAGGGGAATTGGGTAAGCTTAATTGTCCGTAGTGTATGTGTGTGATTGGGTGTGTATGGATGTTTCCCAGTGATGGGTTGCAGCTGGAAGGGCATCCGCTGCGTAAAACATATGCTGGATAAGTTGGCGGTTAATTTCACTGTGGCGACCCCTGAATAATAAAGGGACTAAGCCGAAAAGAAAATGAATGAATGAGTGTTCTGAAATATAACAGAAATTCATCACTGTGTCTTCTAAACTAATTAATTTTATACAGATAACAAATGTGAGCTTATTTATTTGAAACAACAAGTGAAGTTTTTAAACTAATTTCGAGAGGAGCACGTGATATAATTGACTGCAGCTGGCCACCTATCTACACTCATTAGTTAGCCAAATCAGATCTATCCTAACTCACTATAAGCAGCCTAGCTAGATATTACTCCCTTATCTTTGTTTTCCGAAGAAACCCCCCATCCACCCCTTTCTCCTCCTTTTCTCCTTTACAAAAAAGGGGAGCTCTGGAGAACCACCTGATCTCGTATTCCCCTCACATGCTCTATGGACCTGGCGGGAGCCCTGGGCTCAACTATCTCCGAGCTCAGGGTTCTCTCCCGGGACAGCATGCCAAACCTGCTTACAATTGTCAAGCAATATCTAGGTGTGAACTCTTGAAACTTATTAGTATTAGTAATAGTAAATAATAGGAACATTATCAGGCTCTTGGTCTTTCGCGAGCAGATTTTGTTTCTCTCTCAAGCACACTTGGCCTCTCCAGTACGCATAGTCTGTCTGCTTTCGCTTGACATCTGTCTATTCTGGCGCCTCGTACACTTTACAGCGTCGTCGCTGTAAACAGGAAGATGTAGGCTAGACTGAAGCCAAAATTAATTAATTTACTAAGTAACAGACAAACGCATCATATTGTAATAGTAATGGAGTGACTATATTTAAAAAGTAATGCATTACAGTTTTAGTTACTGTCAAAAGTAATGCCATTACAATAACACATTACTAGTAATGCATTTTTGTCCAACACTGGATATGACATCCATACAACGTCAAAGTCTAACATCACTTGAAGTTGATCTTAAGTGTAACATTAACTATCTAAATATCAACATACAGTCAACGTCTCAAACCAACATCATTTAGATGTCAAACACTGACATATACTCTTAAGATATGGTAACTAAAATCCAACATCAGCTTAACGTCATAATGTCATAATAATCCATCTTGATGTTGGAGTCTGATCTCTAAGTGACGTTGGGTTCTGACGTCAACTCGATTTTCATGAACAGCCGAAATTCAAAGTTATATCTGAGGTTGGAGTCCAACGTCAATTTTACAACTGACGTGTGATGTCTGGTGCCAGCTAGGTGAGGATGCACAAGGGTCATGGAAATACAGTACTTGCATGTTCTTTCACATAATGAGATTCAAAAGAACATCCAAACTGCTTTATTTCCACAGTTTTGATCAGCATTCACTTTTAAAGCTTGAGCATTCTGGTAGATAACTGCCTTTGTGTTTCACAGGCGAAAGTAAAATATAATGAAAAATGAAATGAATGAATCACAGAATTGTAATTGTCCAAGTGAATTACTCCTCAAGCTCCGCCAAAAAGCACATGGCACGTAAACGGTTTATTGAAGAACCAGGGGTTTAAAGTTCAGACGGATGCAGTCTTCATTGTATTTCACCTCTAACTAACACTCTTCAGCTTAGTTTCAAGTAATACGCCATAGAGAAGGAGCCAATGACAGGTGTTTGAGTGTATGCGAGAGAGGAAGAGAGCAATAAAAAAGCAGAATAGGAGTAAGAGACTTTACGCAGATTATCAATAGACCTCAAAACATCATGGCATCAAAATACACAGATTAAGCAAGGAGTGACTTAAAGGGGAGGTGAACTTTAGAAATAACTAAAAAAGAAGGAAACGAGATCCTGACACACGAGATGGTGCAGAACTGGATTAGAATACGAGACGGACAGGTAGTTTAGGAACATGTTTTACTTTCAGGCCACACAAAAGACTGAGGAGAACGAGAAAGGTATGGTGGTCTATTGTTGGGAAGTTGGTGGAGAACAATAGAAGGTGAAAAAGTACAAGAGTCATGTGTGCTGGGTTGGTGACAGGTCGCTCTCAGAAAACACACACTTATCCCAGTAAGCTGATGGAGGAAGTGAATGGAATAAACTTCTATTCTTTCTGATGAATGTGCACGCAAAAAATTATGAATACAAAAATGTTTTTAAAAAATACTTAAGTTTGCTTTTAATAGATCAAGAATACCATAAATTATTACAGTTTAAAATGTCTTTTCTATAGTGGTATATTTTGAAATGTAACTTTTTTTGCCAATTATTTAATTAAAAACCCAGCATTTATTCAAAATAGATATGTAATGTAAAAGTCTTTATAATCATTATTGATCAATTTCACTTTCTTTATTAATAAATTGACATGAAAATTGAAATATGGTAGTGTTTATGTAAAGATATTATGCTGATTTTGCTACAGTTTATTAAGTACACATAAGAAAAAAAAAAGCTTTGGTAAATTTCAAGTAAAATATAGCATAATTAGGCTGTTTAAAGTCCAAATTTGTGTCAAGCAGCAGTTTGAAGAAGTAGGTAAAATCAAAATGGTTGCCTTGAAATTCAGTAGTTTGTGGCATCATTGGTATTGATGTAATTCATATGATCCAAGCAAGGCTGCACAATTTATCATTTAAGCATCGATATTGCAATCTGTGTATCTGCAATAGTCACATAATTACATGATTAGATTTATTAAAATGAGAAAGATGTTATTAAATATTATTATTTTACAATCATTTATACAATGATGAACATTTTTTTTTCTTTTCGGCTTAGTCCCTTTATTAATCAAGGGTCACCACAGCGGAATGAACCACCAACTTATCCAGCATATAGCAGCATAGCAGTTTTACGCAGTGGATGCCCTTCCAGCCGCAACCCAGGCACACTCTTTCACATACATACACTTAAGGCCAGAACCAGCGACCCTCTTGTTGTGAGCTGATCATGTTACATTGTTCAATATCTGTACCTGGATATTGTTAGACTCTTCAGAAAACCATAAAGCACTTAGTTGTATTTACATATGCTTGTAATTTATTATAAATTTTGCAAACGCAAACTGCACTTGCATACTTAATCATTCTGATCAATCTAAATGAAATCTTCCCAAATAGCTATTCAATTTATGTGGTGAAATAAAATTCATATCGCAATATACAGTTCAAGTCAGAATTATCAGCCCTTAGTTGAATTTTATTTTCTTTTTTTTAACATTTGCCAAAAGATGTTAAACGACGCAAAGACATTTTAACAGTATGTATGATAATATTTCTTCCTGTGGAGAAAGTCTTATTTTAAAATAAAAGCAGTTTTTAATTTTTTAAAAAACATTTTAAGGTCAAAATTATAAGCCCCTTTAATCTATTTTTTTTTTTTTGATAGTCTACAGAACAAACCATCATTATATAATAACTTGCCTAATTCCTCTAACCTGCCTAGTTAACCAAATTAACCCAGTTAAGCCTTTAAATGTCACTTTATGATGTATAGAAGTGTCTTGAAAAATATCTAATCAAATATTATTTACTGTCATCTTGGCAAAGATAAAATAAATCAGTTATTAGAAATGAGTTATTAAAACTATTATGATTAGAAATGTGTTGGAAAAAATCTTCTCTCCGTTAAACAGAAATTGGGGAAAAAACAGTGGGGCTAATAATTCTGTATATTGTATATCGCAAAACAAAATATCGCAATGTCAGATTTTTCCAATATCATGCACCCCTGGATCCAAATAATTCACCAAGGCTTATATCTTAGGGAAAATTATATACATAACTAATATAATTTTTAGATGACTATGGACGATGGCCAAAAAGATTACTTGACTGCAAAAACTTTTGATACTTTTCAACAAATCTGTCTGCCAGATTTTAAAATCTTTATTGGGGAAATATATGTTCCACGGGTAGAATAAGAAAAAATGTAATTATTTGAATTTAATAATTCTGTAGTTTTATTTAAAGTGAAAAGTAAATGATGATGCAATGATAGCTAATTATTTAATTCATAAAGTCTATTTTCGGAGATAAATGACATTTTAATAATTGAAAAAAAAAGAAAAATAAATCACAGACTGGATGTTTGAACATCACTTTGACATTACATAACATTTTCCGGACATATCCTCACCTTCAGGTGGTCTGTTTGAGGTTGCCACAACCACGACCCCACACTTGAACAAGCCCTCAAATAACTGCTTCAGGATCATAGCATCTGCTATGTCCACCACCTGAAAAAAAAAAAATAAATAAATAAAAATAAATAAACCTTAAAAATGACTCTTTGAGAAAAAATGTATTTTGGCAGCACATTAACATCATATACCTCAAACCATGAGTTTAATTCACAAGGATAATTCACCAAATTTACATTGGTAGGGTTGAACCAGCTTTAATGCAAGTTCTTTTTTAAACTGGAACGTAAAGTCCACACTAGGGGCTTAGTAACTACAAGCTAGTTAGTAACTAAATTTGTTCTCACTTAGGTTTCACCACATGTTCTTAGGGCAAACCAAAGTTAGTAGGTCATAAGCTTTCCATAAAGTCATAGTTTCATTGAATGACGTGATATCTAATAAAAAGCCTTTAAATCATGTAACTGCTTAAGATTCTGCAACTAATGCATCTATGCATAACTGTCTTATAAAAAATAAATGATAAATTACATTATAGTACATTACATTACAGTTGGTCACTTATAACAGCATAGAGTGTATACACGCGAAATACACATGAAGTTATCAAAACATAATACGTGAATGTTCTTTATATCCTACATGTAAAAGAGAAAAGAGCAGGGAGAAGTACTCATTCAAGAAGAAATTCTCATTTTAATTAATGAATACATTGAACACAAAACACTTCTTGAATGAAAATTGAACTCTTCTTTCACTAACCGAAAAAATGCGAGATTTGGGTGGAAAATTGGGCTGCGAGTAGAGGTAGAGCATTCTTCATTATAATCACAAGCTCCTCTATGTAAGCTAATCTCACCGTCATCTCTTTTCGACCGTTATACATAAGGGGAGGCTGCCACAAATATTTAGTTGGAATGTAATGTTACATTTAAACTATCCAGTGGTGCAACACAAAAATATTTAGTAGTGCCTAAATTGTAACTTGGTGTCCCTTTAAGTCACAACTACACTCTCAGAAATAAAGGTACAGGAGCTGTCACTGGGGCAGTACCTTTACAAAAGGTACAAATTTGTACCTGAAGGGTTCATAATGGTACCTCAGGTACTTTTTAGGTACTTTTGGGTACTAATATGCCCCCTAGTATGATGCCCCCCGGCTCCAGCAGTATATAAATCTAATATGTCTATAATCTAGAAAGAGCAAACTGTAAAAGACAAATGAATATCTATACAGGATGAGTCTTAGTTACACACTGACTTTAAAGCAAATAGGATGATGTTGATTCATTCTGTCCTCCAGTAGAACCATCAAACCTTATAGCAGCAAACACAGGTGTGTGTGTGTGAACTGAAGATGAGCGAGACACAACTCTCTCCCCTTTGCCCTTCCTCTGCCTTGAGCTAATTACCACAATTGTGTGCATGCATACGTACTTGTGCATGGGTGTACATGTGAATGAATGAGCAAAAACCAGGTGTTGTTACATTTTAAAACCGAAACCTCGGCCAAGGTCCTTTGACATCACCCTACCCAAAACTCGCGCACAGACGCAGGACAGACACAAAGCCACTCAACCTGACTGTAAAATGGCCACACAGAGCCGCGGCTTTCTGCTGGAGACAAGGACAAGTGGCCAAAGCGCTGAAAAAGGTAAATAATTGAATACATAAATAAATAAATAAATACATAAACAGCGTTTGGAGGTAAAATCAGTGGCACAATGACAGCCAGATGGCCACACAGAGACAAACAGATCCACACATACACACAGATGCGCTCCCATTGTGCTCTTGAGGGCCTGGCATGGATGTCCCTGAATCTCAGAAGCGAGAGGATGAGTGGTTCTTTCATTATTATCATTTTCATCATCAACATTCATTATTATCCTTTAAACGTTGCCTTTTTCACAGCAGCGAGCTGTTGCCTCGCACACATCTGCAGCAACACTGGGGCTGCTGACCCTCCCCTGACAAAAGGAGCCCTTTAGTCAATAACTCACAATGAGATCGGCCGTGGTTCGCTCTCGTCTTCTCCCTTGTTTTTTTCAGGGTTGAAATGTATTTAGTCAAACGCAGAGTTTCTCCTTGCTTTGCATTAATACTTTGCATATCTGGCAGCACAGAGCCAAATTTGGGGCCCAGGATGTTTTTGTCATGTAGAAGATCTCCTCGTTCACCATTCTTAGAAGGACACACTTACGACTGCCATTCCCCCAGCATATGTTGTTTTTCTTATATTAAAGTGTTTCCCTTTTTTGCATATTAAACCTTCGGCCTCATCAAACTCAATTAGCATCTTCTATAGAGGCCTTACGTGCGCGCGCGCGTGTGTGTTGTCGGAGGGGTGGTCGCTCACAAAGACGAGGTGCTACGGCATAAATTGGATCACATTTCCTTTAACCGTCCTCTTCTATTCTTCATTTCAAAGGAGTCATTTAATTATGACCTTTTCATCCATCCTGTATTTGTTTTTTGTTTTGTTTTTTGTTTGTCACGCAGGCACCGCGACACTCATGCTCACACACACACACTTTGAGTCTCGGGGTATTGATTGCCAGGTTGAGTGCAAGAAAGCCCTCTGTGTGGCGTTGTTGTGGACGACAGCGAAAACAACGGCACGGATATTCAAATGAGCATCCAATTATGCCAGCAAAGAGTCACTTTTGTGTGGTGCACACGGGTGCCAAATTGCACTCTTTTGATCTTAAACCTTTACTTACACAACTCCGTCGATGAGTAATTTCGCCCGGCGACTGACAGGGGCCTGAGACAATGCCTCAAGCGGTTTCTGCTCGCTCTTCCTCTTTCTATATCTCTCTTGGTCCTTCTCTCAATACCTTGCATTCATTAAGGGAGTGGAGAGGGACAAAAGGGGAAGGCTACAAATTACTGATAATGATGCCGGACTAATGAAGAGAATGGAGAAATTTCATTAGCATTTAAGAGGCATGGATGCATGCGACCCGCCATAGTCGCTCTCCATTACCCCTCACTCAAGGAAGCAAGAGGGGCCGACTGAAACTCGATGCCTCATTTGCATGCTTAAGTGCCAGTGGCTCCTGATTGGTAAGGGCCTGTCAGCTCCTCATCTGTGCATCGTAAACAAAACGTGTGTGCTTTCCTTATTGCGTATCGGTTGGCGATCATATTAAAGGTGAGCATACTAATACTATATAAATAAATACAATCAGGTCTGGGGTGAGCATTTTTCATTTAAAAGCCATTAATAAAAAGAGCTGTCCTTCTTCATTAAGCATTGGCAGAATGAGCACCGGCACTCTTCATTAAAAGAAGCTTAGATTTAAAAAGCAGACACTACAAAAAACAGAGAATGATTAATAGAGGAGAATATTGATTACAGATTTAGAAATAGGCTGATGGGTATGTACCTCTGCCATTTCATTTGGGTCATCCTTGACCAGTGGTGGAAAGAGTACTGAAAAATCATACTTGAGTAAAAGTAGCATTACTTGCCGAAACATGTAGTGCAAGTAGAGTAAAAGTATCTGTTGTAAATATTACTCAAAGAATGAGTAAAAAGTAGCCCTTGACTCAAAAGTAGTGAGTATTACGCTTTAAATAGCTAATGCAATTTGTGGATGAGTGTAAACGTAACATTCTGTAGTGCAATTTAATTTAGTTATTGCCCAGCAAGCACACAACGTCATAAGACATTAATATTAGGTTAGATTTAGGTTGTAATGTCAAGTGACCAAAATTCAATGTCTAGTCAGCGTCTAAGGACAACGTTATTTTAATGTCCAATAACAATGTCAAATTACGTTGATGTTTGGTTGATTTTAGGTTGTTTTGAAAAGTGACAAAAATCAAATGTCGAGTCAACATTTAAAACCATAGTCATATTGATGTCAAGTACTGATGTTTATTCGTCAGGTATGACAACTAAAATCCAACATCTGATAGACATCATAGCGGTAACGTCCACACAACCTCCAGCTGTAACAACAATTGACGTTTATATTTGATTGATTTTAGGTTGGACATTGAACATTGACATCGGCCTGGCGTTGCATTCTGATGTCAACCCGATTTTCATTTCCAAACAATATCCAACACAACATCAATCTGACATAATGTTGACATCCTGTGATTGCTGGGTGTTTAAGGCCATTTCGGTCATCATACAGTAAACATCCGTCATCTTCTCATCAGTGACATTCATCTAAACAGTCTCTGGGTCAATGTGTATAAAGATTTTGGACATCTTCTTGGAGACTTTTAAAGCTTCCAAACAGTTTGCTGCAATTATAAATCCCCCATGTCTTGAGGTAGTTCAGTATGTGGCAATTTACCTTCTATGTGTGATTTGATTGGACAGGAATCACAGCACTAATTTTTCTGATCCCCATAGACAAGAAAAAATAGTGACTGCTGTTTGAAGAAAAATAGTGGAGTAGAAGTACCAATACTGCACTAAAATGTACTTAAGGGAAAGTAAAAGTACACATTTTTAAAACTACTTAGTAAAGTACAATTCCAGAGACAAAACTACTTACAGTAATTTGACTATTTGTAATTTGTTACTTTACACCACTGTCCTAAAAAAATCTAATTTCTCTGTGGCCCTAGCATGTCTTTTCTGATTTATTGAAAGGTGTCTGATTCCACTAGATGGCTCCAAAACAATCTATGAAATGCTGCCTCGTCAGATGAACTACATCATAATCATACCATCAGAGATTTTATTTTGGAATCCTGTGGCTCTAATTATTCCCCTGCCCATATACCAGCAAACATTGAATATGCAACAAACTGCAGCGAATACATTTCTTCAACAATTTTTTTTTTTTTTTTTACAATTTCCCTACTTCTGCCCTCACCTGAAACTCATCAAAGCATATGAGACAGGTTTCCTCTGCAATCTCCATGGCAACCGGAAAGATGGGGTCATACATTGTCATTTTACCTATCCGTCGCTTTGGCAGGCTCTGTTTCAGTTTGTGGATCCCTGAATGCAATGCACAAATTAAAGTCAGTACAAAGCAAAATATCAAATGGTCTCAAAAATTTTACAAAAACATATTCTGAATTCAAAAGAAATGCATCCAACTTCTGCTTTGAGCCCTTATTTTACTTAATTGCTATTAATGCATTCAAACTACTATAAAAGTTGGCTGCTTGTAGAAATAATAACAGTAATAGACTTCATTTATAATGTGCTTTTCACAGACCCAAAACTTTTCCACTTAAAAACAGTAAAAAATAACAAAGCACAATAAAACAATAAAGACACAGTGAGAATAAAAAAAGATGTCAAATTTAAAACAGTCCTAAAAAGATGAGTTTTAACTAAGAGTAAATAAATAATAGTAATGTAAACAATAGTAAATAATAGTAGATCTTTATGTTGCTTAGTGCACTGTAAAAAATAAAATAATACTGCGCTCCACACAACTTATTCATGTTGTTCCAACACAAATTAATAAAGATAACGTCATTGTTTTTCAAATTTAAGTAAATTAAACATAAAACAATTAAGTTGTCCCCCAAAAAACTGAAGAATTGTGTTGATTCAGCTTATTTTAAAAAAGTAGTTTGAACAAGAGCAAAGATCCTTTTTGAGTTTATTGTATAAAAGTTAACAACACTACCTTCCGTATTTTATACAATAATGTGCTAAACTGATTAAACATTAGACATTTATAGTTTTGCAAAAGATTACTATTTTAAATAAATACTGCCCCTTTAAACAGCAACTGTTTCGACAAAAACATTAAACTGAATGACTGTTTTGCAATTAAATATGAAATGGAAGTGTTTCTTAAACAGCAAATCAACATATTAGAATGATTTCTGAAGGATCATGTGACACTCAAGACTGGGGAGTAATGACTATCGAAAATTCATCTTAGCCTGCTTTGAATAAATTACATTTTAGCATATGTTAAAATGACGAAAAAAGATTGCAATATTATTTTTGTCAAATAAATGCAGTCTGTGTGGACATAGAAGCCATTTCTTTCAAAAACAAAAATAAAAAGGGGAAATATCTTTGGGATGTAAGTGTAAAAGACAACTTGATGTTTGACAGTCCTGTGTTAGCACTTACTTCTGTGTACGTCTAACATGAATCCATTGAAATGAACCCTCTTTTTTCTTCTGTTTTCCACAAATGAGTAAAAAAGATCCATCAGCATTGTTTTTCCAGTGCCTGTTGATTATAAAACAGAAAATACAATTAAGCATTAATGTAAAATCTATCCAATCAAACACAAAATGAATACACGATATGCCTGTTTAAAAATGAATAAGTGTTCTGCTGCTGTGGCACTTACCAACATTACCATAGATATAATAACCTTGGGGTGGATGTGGCTTAGAGGACTCCTGTAGAAAACAAAAACAAATACAATCATCTTCTTTAATGCTGTAAAAACATGTTTATTATTTCAGTACATTATATTTAGCATAGCTTATATCAAAAAAGAAATGCATTCCATAAAAACACCTGAAAGTCGATTTTATCACCACAAACTCTTAAGAGTCCCCTTGACCTTAAAGGTGACATTGCATGCCCGTTTAACACAAGTTGATATGATTTTTAGGGTCTTAATAACAAGTTTATGAATTACTTTAGTTATATTTATTAATAGTAGTGTAAATAAACACCATTTTGACCCTGTCAAAAACACCCCAATCCACGGCTATAGCCATTTCACTTTATACCTCTTTAAAATTTACTGCTGCTCACACTAGGGGTGGCTGACGTAAAACTGACATTTCGACAGTGTCGAGATCCCAAAGCGCAAGTATTTTAAAACATTGCACCAAAGCATGTTCCGAAACACCCAGGTTATGTGACTAATGTGATTCGAAACACCCAGGTCATGTGACTAAAGAGTTTCGAAACAACAGGTCACGTGACTAAAGCGATTCAAAGCATCAAAAAGCATTTCAGGAGTAATTAAGACCTGGCGAATCTGCATTTGACTGACAACCTCGAAAAAAACATTCCATGTAGCCTATTGGACCGTGCGTGTGCACAGAGTCACTCTGCTGAAAATAATTAAGTTCAAATCCACACTTGTACAAATACTCAGAAATTGTGACTTGACGTATTTTAATAATATTGCTTTTTTATGACCAAAACAAGACATGTTTATTCACAGTGTTCACTCGGATATCAGAACAATGTTAAAACTAAACACGTCACAAGAACAGAGCATTTAAAAACGAACATTTATAGCTGCATCACCCTGGATTCGAACCCATTGTCTCTGCATACTAGTCTCGAAGTCTTACTGCTACACTCGGTCACTTTACAATATTGGGTTTAATACCTCAATTTGCTTGTTTCTTTGCTGAAGCTGTTCCAGAGCAATACATTAAAAAATGACCACTACGTGTCACTGTAGAGACAGGTTTGAAACAAGCTTACACCGCCTCTGAAGCCGCCTTTCCACTGCACACGACATTTGGACACGACTGTCGGAATACGCCCCCTTGTGGCAGCCGCACAGTATTTTCAGTGTTGTCGTGCACCATGGGGGAGAAGGTGATTCTCAACGGTGTCCGAAATAAAGGACTGCAAAAGCAATTACCTTTATTCTCTGTGCGTTTACATAGTTTAATGGATGAAGGAATACTAAAAACTCATAGACCGCTAAAATATTTGAAGGAATGTGGAGACAACATTAAAAACATTTTTATTACTTTCTTTCTTACATTTATGAACAGAAAAGTTTTTATTTAATATAGACTTTTTATAATTCAAAAAATAACCAAATAAACTCCTATTTCTTATCTCGCGCGCACGGACCTGCTTGGACAACACTGGAATACATCATATCCAGTCGGCAGGTCGCATACAGTCTAGTGACAGGAGTTCAAATATTTCAACGGATCCGCAGCACAATTCAATCCAAATTTTCCGCATATGGAGATGATCGGAACTCAACGCAGCTCCCGGACTGCTCTTCATTGGAAATGAATGACTTCTGGTCTGTCGCTTGTCGTTTGTCGTGTGCAGTGGAAAGGCGACTTAAGGCTTGATTACAAATAGCGATCAATTGGGATTTAGTGTTCAGCCGAGTTTCTACTGACTTTTGGCTTTATGACTGACAGAGTATTTGAAGCGATTTCCACATTAAAATCGTGTCTGTCCGTCTTCCATGCGAATAATCTTTACATATAATTTATCATTGATTGACATTGCAGCCTGCCATTATCGATGTAAAATGTGTTCAAACAAACATCTACATAAAAATGGTCACACTGCGGTATTTAACACATGCTTTTCCTTTTGGGAAATTCCCTTCATATGTACAACTAATCCATTTCTCAGTTGCCTTTTCTGAAGCTAGGATTCTGTGTAAGGACATCTTTGAGCCTCTAAAGTTACATCCAAACACAGAGCAGGACTGCTTCCTTGTTCAAATGCAGGAAAAATAAAGACACCATCGTTAGCCACTTGGCTATCTGTAAAGACTTTTTTGAGAGATGTAAACAAAAACAATGGTCCCAACGTTTTTCCTGTTTTATATTTTTAATTTCTATAGCTTCAGGCAATCCAAAAAGAGCCTGATATTGAAAAATAATGTTATGATAGACGTTTTATCATGAAGTTATGATTAAATCGCCTCTTGTTGCAGTTATGAAATAGTTTGATAACAAGCAGGAAATGCTCATGGGCCAATGACATGGCCACAATAAAATGGTCTATAAAGAAAGGGGTGGGGAAGAGGGCGGAGTCTAGTTTGCTTGGAGGATAGAATTGCTTACACATTAAAACTAGCTAACTACATCTAAATCAGCAGGAAACCACCAGGTCAGTTACGGCACATAAATACATTCAGAGAGTTTATAGAAAACAACAGCTGGCAGAACACAAACAGACAAAATCTCAATTAAAAAATAGACGTCACTTTTAAAGTTTTACCTTAATGTCCTCAGTGCATTGAACTTTCAGATCTGAAATAGCCAGCCGACAATTGCTGACAACTGGTAATTCAGTAACCACAAAGAGTCAACATCCTTATCCCAGTGTGCACCTCATCCTGGCTGTTTTTTTCAGACGGAGAATACTGTTTGAGCAGTGAGGCACAACGTTCTTGGATGACAGCGTGTGACTTCTCGCTGACTTCCAGAACCCTCTGCAGCTCGTTATTGTGGCGGGTGGCAGTGGTCCAGTCATGGTAGAGTGGATAAACACAGAGAAAACTCTGAGAGAGAGAGGAGACGGGTCCACAAGGTGGAGTCATGCTCTACACTTTCACAGGACGCAGCCAAGTGGAAAAGTTCACATGCCAACACTCTTAGGTAGAGAACCCACTCTCTTTAATTCAACAAGCGAACTGTTGTTTGCTCTAGTAATGCTTTGGATAAACAAAGACTTAAGATGTAAATGGATTGTTCATCCAAAACTGAAAATTCTCTCATCATTTACTCACCCTAAAAAAGATTGAGTTCCTTTCTTCTTTTAAACACAAAAGAAGATACTTTGAAGAATGTTGGAAACCATAGCTATAGACTTCCATAGTATATATATTTCTTCTGTTTACTGGTTTCCAACATCCAAAAAAGAAAGAAAGAAAGAAAGAAAGAAAGAAAGAAAGAAAGAAAGAAAGAAAGAAAGAAAGAAAGAAAGAAAGAAAGAAAGAAAGAAAGTGAAACCACTTAAGTGTGAGTAAATTGTGAGTACATTTTCATTTTGGGGTGAACTATCCCTTTAATATTTTTTGTAAATAATAATTTGATATATAATAATATGCTCAACATAATAAGTGATTATCTGTTCTGTTAACCATGCACATGAGGTGTTTAATTTTCTCCCTAAATGCTCAAGACTTGAGAACGTCACTGTACATGATGGTGTTTATGTTCCCATATTAACAGTGGAGCTGGGAGCTTTTTTTCCAGACAATAGCGAGCCCTCATTACCGAGGCGAGGGAAAGTTGGGGTGTCCTGACTCAGTAGGGGGCTCTGCTTGGTCTGGCCTTTCCTCCCACTCTCCACCCCCACAAACACAAACAGCCTGCTTTGACCTACAAATTAGGCAATGGCACAGTGCAAGCATCGGGGTTGGACCGCTAAGCTTTTTCTTCACTGTAAACATTCACTGCTCAGTTTGGCACACACAAACCGTACCTCTTGTTGGTCCTCTTTTTCATTTGACACATTTTCATCAGGTCTGCAAATGTTCACCGTTTCCCTTGACCCAACTTTATCCTGCAGTTCTGAGGTTGGTTGGTTCTGTAAGCAGTCTTTAGGTTGAGGGAGAAGGATAGGGATGTTGGTATAGTCTGTCAGCACTCTGGTTAATTCTTCTAACTGAAGAAGTGCAGTTCTCTGTTGCGGGTCCTTTCGGAGTGAACCGAAGTGGACAAGGCTGTCATAGTGTGTTACAAGTCTGCCATAGACAGGCCAGGGTGCTGAAGTAGATGTATGTCCTGTAGATGTTGTCGAACACCCTTGTGTTGTCGAACACACTTGTGAAGATGTTGTAACTGCTAAACGTTTTAAAGGGGGAAAAAAACAGAACCATGAGCACTGCATTAATGGGACAGTTTACCCAGAATTGCTAAACAAAATGCATACAAAATACATTGTAATGTAATGTATTTTTAATTAATGCCATGTCAGAGACCAAGGCTATTTTCATGGCAACAACATTTCAATGAAAATATATAATTAAAAACAACAAACAAATAAATACATAAAATAAATATGATTTTTAGCGTCAATACAAAATCTTTATAATAATAAAAAGAATTTATTTCATACAAAAGTCTTCTGTAATGATTAAAAACAGGACAGTCCAGTTGAATGCGTTTTACTGTAAGAGGAATTGTACAGTACAAACACTGAGTGGGTCTTCACCTTCACCTCTAAGAGGTATTCTAGTATGTCCAATAAGACATTGGTAAAAATCACTTGATCAAATCTAGTCTTAAAATGTCATAAAACTCTTGTTTGAGATTTCAGGTTGTATTTTATACTATTTACTAATTTCCAATGCATCCCATTCCACTTATTTGAAGTTTATATCATTGATAAAAGGTCTCATTTCTGAAGTTATAGAGAAAACAATGTAATAAATAGTTGAACAGCATCCTGACAAATGACTTTTTTAGTGTTATCAAAGGGTAAAAAAGTGCAATGCAATGTTATGATTCTAATTTCAGCATAGGAAAGAGACAGAATTTTCATCTTCAGTTCAAATAACACACTTGTTCCTATAAATAGATTTAAAACCGATATTGATTAGAAAGTAAAAGTAGAAATGATAAAATAAAATGCATGTGTTACATACAGTATTTATACTCCACAATAAAATGTTGAAAATCTTCAACAGTTAACAGAGTGGTTATTTATTTTCTAATAATATTATTATTAATAACAGGCAGCATGGTGGCGCAGTGCGTAGCACAATCGCCTTACAGCAAGAAGATCGCTGGTTCGAGCCCCATCTGAGTCAGTTGGCGCTTTTGTGTGGAGTTTGCATGTTCTCCCCGTGTTTGTGTGGGTTTCCTCCGAGTGCTCCAGTTTCCCCCACAAGTCTAAAGACATGTGGTACAGGTAAATTGGGTAAGCTAAATTGTTCGTAGTGTGTGTGTGTGTGTGTGTGTGTGTGTGTGTGTGTGTGTGTGTGTGAATGAGTTGTGTATGGGTGTTTCCCAGTGATGGGTTGCAGCTGGAAGGGCATCCACTGCGTAAAACAAATGCTGGATAAATTGGCAGTTCATTCCGCTGTGGCGACCCCAGATTAATAAAGGGACTAAGCCGAAAAGATAATAAATGAATGAATGTAATAATGACTAGTATAACGATTACTGATTTATAAAACACTGCTTTCATACTTTCATAATTATGTCAACAGTATTTGTAACACAACAACAATGCTGTAGTTATAAAAGATAACCACCATGTAGAACTTATTATTACTATTAATAATGATAATTATTATTTATTTACTGTTGTTATCATAATTGTTTGGTATATTTGATCGTTGCCTAAATTATTGTTACGTTAATGTTTCCTCGCAAAATCATCAGCCCTGATCGCCTGGAGAAAATTGTTTCTCACCTCTGCTTGCCTTACACACTTCACAGCAAACTTGTTTCGACAACCTAGTCTTTTTGAACACAAGTCTTAAAAGACAGTCCGTTCTCCACCGAGACGCGTACGCCGCCATGTTGATTCAAAACTTAATAACTTTATTGAGCTCTTTACGCTCACACTATGGAGAAGACAGTATTGTTCTCCCTTTAGGTTTCATATGTTCTTGCAACATAAGGAATATCGAATGTAACAAATATACATGTATTTTAATAAACCTAAGTTACCTATACGTGGTCGAAATCATATTTTATTCCTTAATAACTACTGAATGTTGCAAAAGGTTTTAAATAGTCATTTAGAAGCTATAACGTAATTTGAAAATTACAGAAAGAGTACTGTGCTTGACAATGCTTATCTAATTATAACCTGTGATGTTGTCACGTGGTTTTAAATAAATTAAGATATTACTCTACATAGGGCAAGTAATTACTAACTTTACAGATGCACATTAAAATGTATTTGCTTTCATAACATTTATCAAATAACAGCTCAGTATGCTGGCACGTGGCAGTATAAAAGCTTTACTTTTTTATAGTTCAAATATATAGTCATTTAGAAGGAATATATAACTAACAGAACTTCACATAATTATAGACTAAAAATCACACTGCACTCGGTATGACAGCTTTTATCCAATCATAAGCTATGGGGGTTGCCACGTGACCGTGTTGGCATGTCACATGTCAGCTGTTCCTCAGCTGATCGGAAGTACAATCGATAGCTGCTTGTTTGCTCAAACCTGTAACGGGAAGCAATGGCTGAGGCCATAGCAGATACGAGAAGGCTGTATACTAAACCACAAAACCTGAATGACGCGTACGGGCCACCGAGTAACTTTCTAGAAATTGATGTTACCAACCCCGAAACAGTTGGCGTCGGTCGGAACAGGTTCACGACATATGAGATCAAACTGAAGGTGAGCTGCCAGTATTGGCCTGATTAGACCATCAAAACACGCTCCCACACACTGATCTGTCTGTAGTACGGGTGTCTAAGTACATTCTTAATACACTGCTGATGCGATTTAAAGGAGAGCTAACACTATAGATCACAGTGTGAGTGTAGCCAATCTCATGTCAGTCAATAAAACCACGACGTCTGTTTACTCGTGGGTTTACTTGTAACTGTATTGTTTGATTGCTTTTAACTTATTTAAAAAACAACGTTACTGTTTACATTTTGGGGATTTTGAATTAGAAAAGAGTTTCCCTGCAACTTTCTGATTAGGTGCTAGTAGTTCTATCAACTGTCTTCATTTACAAACCCTCTTGTTTATCAAACCCCTTTGTTGGAGAGAAATGTGACATCTGCCTGACAGTTCACTTTCATTGTATGGAAATCAGACTGATTGAAATTGAAAGCTGGCTGAAACTGTCAGTCCTTAAAGTCCAACCAAATATCATTCATTCATTCATTCATTTTCTTGTCAGCTTATTCCCTTTATTAATCCGGGGTCACCACAGCGGAATGAACCGCCAACTTATCCAGCACGTTACATAACAAGGTTATTGGCTGTAACTGTTGTCCTAGATTATTTATAAAATGTAAGACAGTTGCTGCCATCACTTTGAGAGTCTAAATAACATATACAGGGGGCAAGCAGAATAAAATTAGAACTCATGGCTCCTGACAAGTCTATGACAGGAAAGAGGTAAAGTTGGTTTTATATTCGTTCATTTAGCAGTCTATATATTGTTTACCATGTTACTTGGAATATTCGATCAGAATTAACATGCAAGTATGACTTCTAAACAACATTTATAATGTTTAGAATAATGTTATATAATGTTATAACATTGTTCTAAACAATATTTATTTGACTGTGGACAATGTTGTACTTTGATGGTTATTTGCTGGTAATGTGACTTCCCTATTTAGAATTTGCAATAAATACTTTTCTGAAATTATATTATTAAGGAAAATGTCTGAATATCCAAATATAAAACCAACTATAGGGCGAAGCAGTGGCGCAGTGGGTAGCACGTTCGCCTCACAGCAAGAATGTCGCTGGGTAGCTGGTTCGATCCTCGGCTCACTCTGTGTGGAGTTTGCATGTTCTCCCTGCTTTCGCTTGGGTTTCCTCCGGTTTCCGGTTTCCCCCACAATCCAAATACATGCGGTACAGGTGAATTGGGTAGGCTTAATTGTCCATAGTGTATGAGGTGTGTGTGTGTGTGTGTGTGTGTGTGTGTGTGTGTGTGTGTGTGTGTGTGTGTGTGTGTGTGTGTGTGTGTGTGTGTGTGTGTGTGTGTGTGTGTGTGTGTGTGTGTGTGTGTGTGTGTGTGTGTGTGTGGATGTTTCCCAGAGATGGGTTGTGGCTGGAAGGGCATCCGCTGCGTAAAAACTTGCTGGATAAGTTGGCGGTTCATTCCGCTGTGGCGACCCCAGATTAATAAAGGGACTAAGCTGACATAAAAATGAATGAATGAAAACCAACTTTACCTCTATTATGACAGGGTCTCCTTAAAAAGTCTTAAATCTACTGAAATAGGATGTTGTAGGTTTACCTTCAAGGTTTATTGGTAAACCTTCAAGGTTTACCACGATTTGAAAAAGTCAAGGTTTTAAAACCGCAAAAAGTTTATGTTATACCGTTTTTAAGTAATTTTTTATGTATTTTTATGTCTTCTAAAGAAATTCGTGTTTTGTAAACTAATGAACCCAGCAGAAGTCGATGATTTATTTTAAAAATTTCACGTGTCATATTTATTGTTCCAAAATATTATAAATGTGAACTGTAAATTAAAAAAAATGACAAATAAAAAATGCTGTATATTGTGTTTAATGGGGAAAATAGGTTGTTTTTTTACTAAGACATTTTAAAAAGAACTTATTTTAGAGCAGTATTCACAATACCTACTGTGATATTTTTATCCAAGGTTATCATATCGTCACAAACCTACACTGACTGATGCCTAGTTGTAGGTCTTAAATCTTTTTTAATGAGTCTTATTTTTTCTTTGTTCATGTATAGCTACCCAATCTGGCCATTAACACCCATACGATCATCAAAAATCCATCTCAATAAATTGTTTAACTTTTTATTTTAAAAGAGCATTTAATCACTTTTCTCTTACAGTAATATTTGTTTATAAGTTGTCAATTAATTTACTGCTGAGGATACTGACCTGACCTATATTTTTATTATTAAATTATTATTAATTTAGACTGAAGTAATTGACAGCTATGTTTTGTTCTATTCTTGATTCTTGAAAGGGTTTTAGGGTTTGTGAATGGATGTGTTTGAAAATAAATTAAAAATATATATTATTGATGTATTAAATGTATTAAATTTTAATAATTTTTTGATAGGGCAAGTGAAAATCTTTTCTAACTGGGATATTCGAAAAAAATAATGTATAGCAATTAGCCCTGTATAAGTCTAAAATTTCATTCATCATGGTCTTAAAAAGTCTTAAATTTATCTTGGTAAAACTTGCAGAAACTGTATTAGATCGAATGATCGATGCAAGCTACTGAACATTATTTATTTGTATTTATTTTTAATCCAAAGTCTAAATAAACAGTCCTAAATGTGTTCAGGAATTCTGGAGTGCAAGCTTCATTTAGCACTTTTTGCACAATGACATATCCACACCCAAAAACTGACTCATGAGCCCATGCTGTTTATTTACAACTTTATGCAGGCTGCATCTTATATAAAAAGCACAGGTAAGCACTATTTTGATGAGTGATAGCTACAGCAATCATGTCTTCTCTCTTTTGTAAACAAACATTAATAGCTATTGTGTCAATTTGCATCTGCACATGTTGTCGGACAGCAATCTCATGCTCAGGACTGTTTGCTGAGGCTGTGCTGTGTATTACAATAATGTTGTAAATAAAGTTTCATAACATAAAGCTTCAAAAGGTATTGTCAGAAGCAACTGATATAGCAACTGATAACTTTATTTTGCTTGCATATGTTTACGCCAGTATCTATTAGACCAAGTAACCTGCATCTTGGCCTGATGTGAAGTAAATTGACACAAATATTTTACCTTTAATATTACGCACTAACATTTACTGTGCTTGTTGATGCATACAGGTTTTTAACACAATGTTGTACTGAGTTTTTGTTGAGCTGTGCCTTTATTTACTATTTGTAACACCTTAATGCCTGTCTAACCCTCTATTTGCATTTAACTAACTTATGCTGTGTAGTGGAGTACACTTTTTGGTAGGAACATTTACAATTGGGATGAAAAAGAGCCCATAAAAGAATACTGATTACACCAGGATCTCAAGTGTATAGTCTTTCACCACACCCACATGTGCAAAACCTAGATAATGGTGCTTTAACGATAATGATAATCCTGCTTAACACATCATCTATGCACATCATCTTTAACCATTTTTAGTTTGATGCCTTTTCCTCTTAAATGCACCCACCGTAAACATTTTTAAATGCGTTTTTTGCTATCTCGTGATCTTGTTCTTCTGAATTTAGATCCAGTTTGTTTCATTAGAATTTCCTCACTTCCATGTCATTCCAAAGACATGAATCAGCTTGCAAGCATTTGCACAAAATGCTTACAATGTTTCCCTAAATGAATTGGTATGTTAAAGGAAGTTTAAAACAATGAGAGAAAGACACACGTGGCTGCCATATGCTTTGCATTTTAAGTGTGTTTGTCCTGTCACGCATGCAATTGACCAAAAGACAGATATACAGCTCATCTTCCCACATAACATGTATATAGACTTCTCAAACCAAAAATAAATGTTATTCTTTTTAACACTAAGATTACATATCTGGCACATTCACTCACTCACTTACTCACTCTGGTTTTTTCACACTTATTATTCAACATTGTAATATTTAACCCTTAAAGTGAGGTAACATGAATCCGTCTTTGTTTCACAATGCTCGTAGTTTACGCAGGATTAACAGTTATTCATCTGTTGATGTTTAACTCTGTACAGTCTTAAAACTTGATTTAATTTATAATGTATTTGCATATTTATGGTGTCTATGTCATTGATTATATAAATACATTTTATAAACTGTTTACATAAAAGCCTCTAACATTGCGTATCCTTATATTGAATTTATTGCTGACTTTAAAAAGCATCTCTTTCTAGTCATAATAATCTAACATTGCTTCAATCTTGAAACTATGGATTTCTTCCCTTTAGTTTAAAGGACAAACCTTAAACCAAGACCAAAAAAATGTAGAGTTCTCGGTTGTTTTTGATACTTAATTGGACAATTTTTCCAGCCAAATAGGCATTCCTACTCTATTCAATTCAATGTGTTCATTTGTTAAGCGCTTTTTACTATACTTATTTTTTCAAAGCAGCTTTACAAAAGTTGCACATTATTACATTACAATCAGAATAAGTTAAAGTTACAATCAAATATAAGTATTATAAACAGACATAGTTAACCTGTAATTTTTAGAATGTAGGCGATGTCTATGTGTACATGTTTAATGAAGTGTATTAAGTGTATGTGTTGTCCTCGAAGTCAGGGTTGGCATCATCTTGTTAACTCCACTGACATATCTGACTATAGCATGTGCAGGTTGACTTTATTATATAATTAGTAGTTTCCATATTGCATTAATGCTTGTTAATGTAAAGTTGAACCCAACTTTGGACTTTTTGGGAATGTTTTCATCCACTCTGGGGTGATTTTGAGTCTTAATTTGGCCACAACTTTCTCTGTTGCTTTTTATACTTTTAAATGTTTGATCAGAAGAGTATGCAAGCTTTGGGACATACTACTTCCTCGGTAACAGATGGTTGTGTTCCTTAGTTATGAGCCCTGTCAATCATCCTCACATCATCTACATTTTTCATATTTCATTTCCTACATTATTGGAGAAGAGGAGTAGGTTAATCTCCCATTTACAAGTCTTTCATGCTAAGAAATCTCCTCAGGTCTTTGGATAATTATGCATTTAGATGTTA